CTGAAAATATGCATTCGGTATGATTTCATGAATTGTTAAAATATTTTTCGAATATACAAATTGTACTGTTTCGCATTATTTTCACTGGACAAAAATCAAAATGATTCTGAAGACTGTATCAAAGAGAGCTGCATAGATACATACAACGTACCTACACAGTAGATTCTGCCTACCGGATAACAACTACTTTCCCAGCTAATACCACGCTAGACATATTCGACAGATATTTATTCAAGACCAGTTGTTGTCCGCAGCTTCGCCCCCGTAGAATTTGGTTTGTCACATTGCGTTTCGTGACAGTCCATTTCAAACAAATTTACATTTTCACTTTAAAAATACAGTGAAAAAATATGCCAATTGCACTAAATAACGAATATCTTCGAGAATCGAAGCATGTCACCTATAAAGAAATTCGTTAAACTAACACAACCGTAAGCGACGTCTGCCCTCACGCGTCTGCCCGAGTTCTAGGCGATGGCGCTTCATTGCTCAAACCACTCTTATACCCCCGCGATCGTCCCACGTCATCTTACAGCAGACGCGACGCGTAATAGCTTACTGCGTTGCGTCAAGTCACTCTTATTGTGATTACTTTCAAACGATTCGTCCAAATTATTCAGTGATAACAAAGTTCATCTATAGAGAATATTTGAAACGATAATTGTTCCTATTTTTATAAGAATTTGACAGATATTCTAAAATGTGCATTGTGAAAATAGTATCCAATTCAATTGTATTTATGGCTCAGTATTTTGCACTTAAGTGGCTGGCATATAAGAGATAGATATATGCCATTGGGGACTTTCATTTAGAACTGTTCGAGATAAACAATTTCACGGTACAATATCTGCATGTAACTCCATCGGTATAGAGAGCGCACGCCAAGATAGCTCTCAGGGACCAAGAATGTTTTCGACTTACTCAATACTTATGTTATATTATGACAAAAATAATAAATCATTCTGATGTATAAGCTGTATTCATATGAAGTTTTATCTAAATCCGTTCAGTCGTTTGGGCGTGAAAGAACCACAAACATACATACATAAATTTATCCATCCTCACAAACTTTCACATTCATAATATTAGTAATCTTTCAAATATTTCTTGTTCATCCAGCAGCAGAATCATGCTAAAATCAATCGAGTATGTCACCTACAAACCGGTTTCGAAGTATTACTCCTCGTCAGTGCAGGAAGTATCCGATAGCTGTGTCCAGCTTCATCTCTTGAACAAAGCCCCAAGCGGTGAAGAAACGTCTCATGTACAACTACTCTAAACAGAAATCAAAATAATTCCGAAGAATGGAAAAATGAGTATTGAGTGTGTTGCATGTTGCTTATTTCTATACCTGTTTTTTGTAATTGTTCTATATCTGTCGCATACAATTCAATGTCCAGTGTGGTATTAGTCAGGAAAGTAGTTGTTCATCGGCAGGCGTTTGACAGGCCCTATTGGATGGGTACGTTGGGAGAGATGAATGTTTTGATATTTTCATTTCGTAATATTTATTTATTCTCACCAATTCTCCAGACATAATGATAGGAAAATTTTCAGTATGAATTTCCCAAATAATTCAACTTGAGGAAACACAAAAACCCATGAGGAGCTGATAAAAGTAAAACTGAAACGTCTTGCGTAGAAACGGTAAATAAAAAAATAGGCACTTTTCTCAATCACCAGAAATGCAATACTCTTCTCGACGTGCTTGTGCTTGTTTTTCGATAATGGAAAGCTGATGTGACCTCTTTGCTGAATGCCGAAAAACAATGAATTCATTCAGTTGAATTAATGAATGTGATTCATTTCAAAGGAACCCTTTTGTCGAGTCAACTTCATTTTCAATTTGAAACGGTTTGCCCATGAAAAGTTAACGTACAACAAGATTTCTACAAGAGCAAATCATTGAAAATGTTGATCAAAAAAGAAATGAGAAACAGTCGTTTCATCCTCACTGATACATTAATTCAAATGGACACTTGTCGAATTTCATGAAGAAATTGCTGCAGAAATCCCTATTCAAATTATGAAAACCTAATCAAAAATTGGGTTGAACTTGTTATCACGTACCAAAGCATTCACAATATGCTCAGTCATACAAGGACCTAGGCGTCCTGCATATCAATTAGAAATATTGCGTATGGATACTGTATATCACACTTATGAAGGGTATTTCATAACAAATTGATGTCAATGACATTCGTTCATTCTGTGAACATTATGCTACATTTCAGTTTATATTTATTCAAAAACCATTTTAATCAAAATTGTTGCTGAAGGATATTTTCCAAAACAAAAACCAAAAACAGTTATTCAGTTATACTGAATAACCGTAAAAAAATTGTTTACTGTTTACATGGAACTTTTCCATTTATTACGTTCGTGATATGTACCATAGCTACTAAAACTCCATTTCCTGAAACAGTTGAATAGCTGTGTCATCAGGAGTTTGAATTGAACATGTATCGTGATGACTTTTTCTATATCCAACCATTTTTTCCTCGAGTATAAATGATAATAATAACAATTTATTTTCCCAAGGAACATACAATGTTTATAGCAAAAAAAAACAATTAAAATACTATTCATGTAGCAAATGTTTCCTAAATTATCTAATCCAATTTTCTTCTCAAGATTTTCAGGACAACTGTCTTCTGATTCGTAAGGAAGAACATGTTTCACAGAATCTGTGTCAGAATCATTTCTCAAGCTGCAGTCGATCCTTCCAAATGATGAAGAGTTTTCTTGAGGGATCGATCGGGCTCTTGTTTCATGAATCTGAAAGGTAACCAGAACCTCGAGGACCGCAGCTCATATTTGGGGGACAAGAATGACCTATGTCCATTTACAGCACTGAAAAAAAATAAGGTGGATCAATCACTTGCGAATTAACCTTGCTAGGGGGCTGATGAATCATCACAGGTATCGGCTTGTTTCAAAAAGATTTCAGTTCCTTACTGGAATGAGGGCAATACATGATCCCATCAAAATTATGTGATGAAGGAATAGTTCCAAGGACCGAAGCAGCATAACCACGTTTAATAGCAATACGAATTATTTCTATCAAAAAAGAAATAGAACGGTAATATTTTGTTGCTCCAGTCCACTAAGCATATTTTTCATTATATATAATTGAATTAACAATGTGTTCTCTTTTCCAGAAATGGAGTTGCAGTACAGTCAAAAAAGTAATTTTGCAAATATCTGTTACGAAAATTCTTAGGAAGTTGATGAATGAAACACAAAAACATAACATTCAAGAAACTAAAAATCCTCAATGCATTATCTGATCGACTTTTCTGAGGACTTTTTTTTTCACAATCTTGAGACACACGTTTAACATCTGTGAAAGAAATTTTAAAATAGAACAAATCGAAGGGAGAAGTTGCAGTTACATTCGATTCTGGCATTTCTGAAGAAGGGGGACGATTTCAGTCCCCTGAAAACGATGAGTATCTGTTGAGTAAGTCCTTTCTTTAATCAAAAAACAAAAATACTGAAAACGACAAGTTACTGAAGAATAATAACTTTTCTTTGTGAAAAATTGGAGTGAATTAAAAAGTTTGATTTTTCTAAACCCATTTTGTCAAATGGTGGAAAGTTGGAATTTTAGTAAAGTGAATGAAAAAAATCTGATTTTCCCTGTACCCATGACACGTTTGAAAACCATGAAACTATTACTATTCAATCAGTGTCTGTCACACACTGAAATAAGTAATATTTTGAATTATCTTGTATAATGATTCATTCTCATTGCAATTTATAGAACGTAACGAATATATTCGTTAAATGTAACATGTAGGTATATTGATATGACAAACTACTTGAACTTGTCTTTCTCCTACATGTACATAAATATTTCAATTCCCATTATCGCATCATTATATGTGTCATATTGTTTGCCTCAGTTATAGGCTTTGATTTCCAAGTGAAATATCAATCAATTCAGTAGCAATTTGAATCAATTAGTACTCATATCAGTTTCTAGAAATTTTTTAATCATTCTGACTCTCAAAATATGTATTCGTGAAAGCAAAACGGAGAAACACGTTATGAATTATATTTTGAAATATATGTTATGTTCGATCAGTGATTATTGTTAGAAAATTATCTCCGCTCGACTTTCTACTCCTTTCTCAATGTGGGCCCAAAAAACTCCTTTTACGGTGACGTCATCAACTATTTGTTTGAGAATTTTTCTTTCCGTTAACTAGCTGTCGCATCCCTACGAACGACAAACCTCAGAAGTCGAAACTTGCGCGAGCCAATGATTGACGAGGTCTTACCTTTTAACGTGTGATTCCTAACACACCAGCAATTCTGAACTTTCTTATCGAAGTTGAAAGGAAGTTCTAAGTTGACAATCATGACCTAACCTAGTATCACTGATTTCAGATTGACACCTCTGATATTGAGACAGGAATCCAACATGTCTGGACTCTGAAGTATCAGTTGTAATATTACTTTTTTAATCACACGTCAAAAGATGAGAACTCGTTAGTCCCTAGCTCGCACAAGTTTCGACTTCTGAGGGTTGTCGTTCGTAGGGGTGCGAAAGCTGATTAACGAAAAAACATTTTGAACATATATAGTTGAATTTTCACATCGTAAGATGTGATCGCAATAGATCGCAGTTGAATCCTGCATTGATATTTGATGAAAAAATTTTTCTATCAGTAACGTAATAATCTCTCAGTGAGAGGAGTTGGCATATCAATTTTCAACTCAGAATGAAACCCAGTTAAAGAAAGTCGAATTCAAAAGTTAGTACCAATAATGAGATGGAACCTATGAGACAAAAAAAAATCAAAATCTCAGTTACCGAAATGATGGAAACATATTGCATTGGACATATTACATAAAATCTAGGCAATCGCACTTTATTGCTCTTCCTTGAACTTGATTGCGTATTGCACCTACAGTTAGTACGATCAATTTAAATTCAGAGAAGAATACGTGTCAATAACATATAGCTAGGCTAGCCCCACGGTGTCTGATATTCAATGGTATAAATAATCGATTATACTAATGAATATTATCAGTTGAAGATCATATCCCAGACAAAATTCAAAATGTTCAAGTTGGTACGTATTGGAAATTTTTGTTACACTGCTATGCTCAGTTTCAGTAGTATTTTATCGGATCAATGATAGTATCAATTTCCAACTCGACATCATTAGAGACTTTTTTAATCAAAAATTCTATGTAATGGTCAATATTTTGCCTAACTTCTCTAGATGTGAAACCTAAAGTACTTGCAATCGAATGAAACATACAAGATAATTATTGTTTTTTAATTTGTAGTGTATTTTCGTTGCCCTCGTTGCCTTTGCAGCAACTACTCCCGTACCAGAAGCCAAAGCTGAACCAAAAGCTGACCCTAGCCTAATAGCTGCTGCCTATACTGCACCCGTTGTAGCCGCTCCAATTGCCTATGCATCTGCCTATTCTGCTCCTTTGACGTATGCCAGTTATGTTGCTCCTTCGGTATACTCTGCTGGATATACTGCCTACTCTCCTTACACTGGATCTTATGTCGTGCTGTGAAATGGTTTTACATTTATAATATTTGGAAAATTCAGTAAATTTGCTAACTGAAATGATTTGTTTCAACCCACTATCCTATTATTTATAAGAAAGTTTCTCACAGGGTCTAAAAAATCAATATCCTGTACAATATCAACGAAGTGAGTTTCATAATTCAGGCAAACTCGCAATGAAATGGTTGCTGTATTTGTTACTTCAAACTTTTCTATATTTCAAAAAACTTCATACCTGTTGTATGCCTCAATTTTTTTATATATTTCAGAATTTGGAATGGGTGTAGTTTCCTTGCGCAAAATCAGCCACATTTATCACAAACCCTATTGAAAAAAATAGTTTGCCTCCTTCCACAATAGTAGATTTTTTCAATGTTTTCAAAACTACGGTTTTGAAGTTTGAGAAAAGATTTGGAAAAAGTGAAAAAAGATTGTAATTTCAAGAGGATATTCGATACAATATGCCCCAGGGATCTCCAGGCCCTTATTTGCTATCCTATATGCTGTTTCACATGCATGGGGCATGTAGGAAAGCGTGTTCAAGTTGGAGCTGATTAACGGAAAACAGATTTCAAATAGAATATTTTCAAACAGAATTACAACAAAATACATAAATATTCACTGAAACCAACAAAAAATCAAATTCGATGAAAAATGAAAAAAATAATTCCGTACGATCAGCAGCAACCACAACAACCGTAGCAACTTCATTTCCCTAGGGAGGGCGAAGAAAAGTAAATACGGAAGTCTTTTCTTGGGGCTCCAGCACAAATTCTTTGTGAACGGTCTCGGCCAATGAGTCGTCGTAGCTTAGCCAGCAGTTGCAACCGACGTGGAAGGCATTGGTCACGTAGTGTTCCGTCATGGTACACGACGGCGAATAGCTTGTACTATGGTATGGGCAACATAACTATTGATATTAGTGATGGACTGAATGTTTTCCAATATTTGAATTAATGCATATTATAATTCTTCAATGTGCCTATTTGTCTAATTGAACGCAATGAACTGAAAACTACCGAACGGATTTTCAAACGGTTACCACCAATGGACAAAATGATTCGAATGGAATAATGTTTTGGTTTCAGTTGGTTGAAATGTATGCTAGGACCACTTTTCCTTCTGTTGTACATGAATGATCTACCTGACTTCATTGAAGGGGGAAAGATATTCATGTATGCAGACGACACAATTATAGTGACGGGCTCCTCGCCAAGTACTCTCAATGTGAAAGTGACCTTAGCAGTGAACCAATTCTATGAATAATGTACAAGAAACCATCTTCTGGGGAACCTACAAAATACTACGTTCATTCAATTCAACAGTGCTTGCAGTAATAACCCAAACCTGGTCAATCTGAATATAAAAGCAATCAACATGAAATATCAAGCTCAACAAAATTCTTAGGCATACATCTCGATAATAACATACCGTGGATCGAACAAATGCATAAAAGATAATACATGCAACAAACTCAAAAAAGCTTAACTATATTGATGATCGGTTAGAATCTTATATTTTTCGAGAAACACATTAATTCTATTTGCCACTATTTTTGCAATAATTTCAGAAGGAATACTTGACAATGATATTTGGCGATAGTTATTTATATATACATGTGAACCCTTTCTATGAATAGGAAAAACTTTGGCTGTTTCAGCATTACCAATTACACTCAGCTGCATAAGGAAAAGACATCTTGAAATTAAAAAAAAAATCATAAATAACTTCTCCATTTCTAACCCAATTTTGATCATTTCTACAACAGGAAGGAGAATATTTATGTCAGATTGATATACATCAAACAGATTACCTGAATATGTCCAATTCATACATATTACGAGGAAAAATTAAGTTATGTTTCTGTCATCTATATTCAGGACACCCTGTAATGAAATATAAGTTTTGGATGACACTGAAAACCATTTTAAGTACGTTGATTCACTCCTCGAACATTGGTTTTCCATTCATTACGATATCACGATTCGATTGCAATTCATGAGTTATTAAATGATGCATTGCATTTTCTCAACGCATTTGTCATATGCAAGTTTCAAGATTTATAGCAATTGTTCCTTCTCATTCAATATTTGACAATTGTTATTATAAGAAAGTCAGTATAAGAAAACTTTCATTAGTTCTAACAATGGTTTTGCGCAAAGACACCTTTGCTGAAGCCCTAACTCTTTTAGAAGAATGGCGAAATTATCAATATGTTGCTAGAAGATCGTTCTACTGTACGGAGTCGTTCTACTATACAGAGAATCGAACAGAGATAAACTCAGACCTGGAAGTAGTCCAAAATTTAAGACTTTCAGTGAAGATATATTGTTTTAACGGTCACGAAAAGTAGACAATTAACATCAGTGTAAAACAAAAATTAACTTCGGGCCACAGAAATAAGTGAGTGGGCATTGGTCAAGCAAAGCTTGCTCAGAGGCTTGTAGACCATCTAGTGGTCCAAAGTTGCTCAGATGTCACCAGGTAACAAGATCAGCAGTGGACCGTTGAATTTTTATTGGGAATGATGCCCATTACCGAAAAGTTTTGTTAACCGATGAATACTCGTAGGAATGAATATCTTAGAATCAATTAAATAAGCTGATATCAAAATTGTCTAGGCCCTAAATATATTCGAAAACATTGATAATGTTTCCATATACGCCTCACACATGAATCCTGGGGAGTCGCCCTTCGTGACTCTTCATTGAACTTGATGCATACTCAACCTTCATGTACGATGAATTTTAATGACGTAGTGATGGTATAAATACTCAGACATTCTTGAGGAAATCATCACTTGAAGATCATTCAGCAAGCAAAATTCAAAATGTTCAAGTTGGTAAGTATTCAAAATAACTCACACTGTTATTTTGATTTCTATGCCAGTTTTGAAGAACTTTTTTTGTAACAGTATTGTTAATTGTTATGATTTTAGCTCTCAATACGTGACAAATTTTTTATTCAAATAATCCATATAATAATGAAAATTTCGCAAAATCCCTCCAGATATGTATTCTAATCTATTTCACTATTTCAAAATTTGATATTGAATTTTTGTTTTTCAGTGTATTTTTGTTGCTATCTTCGCTTTCGCAGCAACTACCCCAGTATCTGAAGCCAAAGCTGATCCCAGTCTAATTGCTGCTGCCTATACTGCCCCCGTTGTAGCAGCTCCTGTTGCCTACACATCTGCCTATTCTGCTCCTTTGACATATGCTAGTTATGTTGCTCCTTCGGTATACCCTGCTGGATACACTGCCTACTCTCCCTACACTGGATCTTATGTCGTGCTGTGAAATGCTTTCTTGTTTATGGTGTTCGTGAAATTCAATAAATTTGTTGACTAAAATTGAATTTTATTACAAAACCAACCTCATTCGTCCAGTGCGTAATATAGAAAAATGCATTTATCGGGCACAAAAGAGTATTTCATTAGAAACTTTGGTTGCTAACAAGCAACAAAGGATATTTTATTTCATTTCTATCGATGCGCCATGAATGATTTTAATAATTGATCATTGTTTTTCGAAATTCCTACATGACTATTTAGTCTGACTTCAATGTCATGGTCACGGTCTTCATATCTAAATTCAAGTTCTTGAAGCCTTCCCTTTTCCGAAATTGTGGGCAGAGCTGGAAATTGTTTGCACCATCGACTTTCAACTCTGGGAGGAAAATTTCACCAAATTCGGTTTGAACAGAGCCAAGAAGATGATAGGACAGCCAGCGCTCCCATATAATAAATATAAGTTTTAAAGCTTTTCTGGACGTTCTCATCACAAAGTCCAACAACTCCTTCTCACACACGGTCTAACGAAAACCTCCCCATACTAACCACTTCCTCAATGCTAAGTCACATCCTCATCCTGTTCAGCTGAATTACCTCCTACATCGTTCTATAAGACTCACTGACAACCCCAAAACAGATCCAGGGAACTATACGAACTCAAAGCCGCCCTTCACCAAAACGACTATTCCGTCTCCCAAATAAAAATATCCATCCAACAACAGCAAGCACAAACCCCACCCCACGAGTTACCTGAGGAATAGACCAACAGAACAAAAGGTTTCCTCCCCTACATCCATGGAGTTACTGACAATTCTGAAGAAACTTAACGTAAAGACAGTGTTCACAGCCAAATCTCTTCTATTTTAAGAACACCCAAGGACACAATACGCAATGAAGCACAAGACATATACGAAATACCAAGTTCTAACTGTCGCAGAACTTACATCGGTCAGACCAATAGAAGAATTTCCAACAAAGCCTATGAACATGAACTAGCTGTTCGCAAATTAGATCGAACATCATCTCTCTTCAAACACCAGCAGGAAACAGGCCACACAATAACCTTCGAAAAGACCATTGCTACGGAGAAAAATCTTCAGGCTAGGATTACTCGAGAAGCAATCGAAATTGAGAAACGTCGCAACTGCCTTAACAAGTGAGATGATGCACAGAGACTACCACAAACATGAAGGTCATTGTTGTCACGCAAGATACCTGAAAATACCCGGGCAGGCAGACCGGGCTACAACAATATAAATATGAACCCCGAACAATAGAGTGACCAGTATGAACTCAAAGTGGAACACAGCAAGCTTAGAGGTAGTGACGAGACTTGGTCGTAAACTCTTGTCCATATTTATTTTGTTGTAGCCAGGTCTGCCTGCCCGGGAATTTTCAGGTATCTTGCGTGACAACAATGACCTCCATGTTTGTGGTAGTCTCTGCGAATAATCTTGCTTGTTAAGGCAGTTGCGATGTTTCTCATTTTCGATTGCTTCCCGAGTAATCCTGGCCTGAAGATTTTTCTCCGTAGCAATGGTCTTGGTGTTTTCGATGCTTATTGGGTGGCCTGTTTCCTGGTGGTGATTGAAGAGAGATGATGTTGGATCTAATTTGCGAACAGCTAGTTAATATTCATAGGCTCTATTGGAAATTCTTCTATTGGTTTGGCCGATGTAAGTTCTGTGACAGTTAGAACATGGTAATTCGTATGTCTTGTGCTTCATTGCATATCGTATCCTAGGATGTTCTTAAAATAAAAGAGATTTGGTTGTTGGCTGTGAACACTGTCTTTACGTTATGTTTTTTCAGAATTCGGCTCTCTTTGTCAGTAACTCCATGGATGCAGGGGAGGAAACCTTTTGACTTGTTGGTCTGTTCCTCAAGTAACTCATGGGGTGGGGTTTGTGTTTTCTGTTGTTGGATGGATATTTTTATTTGGGAGACGGAATAGTCGTTTTGGTGAAGGGCGGCTTTGAGTTCGTATAGTTCCCTGGATCTGTTGGGGTTGTCAGTGAGTCTCATTGAACGATGTATGAGAGAATTCAGAACAGAATTCAGCTGGACTGGATGAGGATGTGACTTAGCATTGAGGAAGCGGTTTGTATGGGGAGGTTTTCGGTAGACCGTGTGTGAGAAGGAGTTGTTGGACTTTGTGATGAGAACGTCCAGGAAAGCTTTATAGCTTATATTTATTATATGGGAGCGCTTTCGATAGCTGGCTGTGCTATCATCTTCTTGGCTCTACTCGAACCAAATTTGGCAAAATTTTCCTCCCAGAGTTGAAAGTCAATGGTCCAAACAATTTTCAGCTCTGCCCACAATTTCGGAAAAGGGAAGGCTTTAAGATCTTGAATTTAGATATAAAGAACATGACTATAACAAAGAAGTCGGACTATATAGTCATGTAGGAACTTCGAAAAACACTGATCAATTATTGAAATCATTCATGGCACATCGATAGAAATGAAATAAAATATCCTTTGTTGCTTGTTAGCAACCAAAGTTTCTAATGAAATACTCCATTGTGACTGATAAATGCATTTTTCTATATTACGCACTGGACGAATGAGGTTGGTTTTGTAATAAAATTCAATTTTAGTCAACAAATTTATTGAATTTCACGAACACCATTAACAAGAAAGCATTTCACAGCACGACATAAGATCCAGTGTAGGGAGAGTAGGCAGTGTATCCAGCAGGGTATACCGAAGGAGCAATATAACTAGCATATGTCAAAGGAGCAGAATAGGCAGATGTGTAGGCAACAGGAGCTGCTACAACGGGGGCAGTATAGGCAGCAGCAATTAGACTGGGATCAGCTTTCGGATCAGCTTTGGCTTCCGGTACTGGGGTAGTTGCTGCGAAAGTGAAGATAGCAACGAAAATACACTGAAAACAAAGATTCAATATCAAATTTTGAAATAGTGAAATAGATTAGAATACATATCTGGTAGGATTTTGCGTAATTTTCATTATTATATGGATTATTTGAATAAAAAATTTGTCACGTATTGAGAGCTAAAATCATAACAATTAACAATACTTTTGCAATTGGAGTTTTTCGAAACTGGCATATAAATCAAAATAACAGTGTAACTTATTTTGAATACCTACCAACTTGAACATTTTGAATTTGGCTTGCTGAATGATCTTCAAGTGACGATTTCCTTAAGAATGTTTGAGTATTTATACCATAGACCATCAACACGTCATTAACATTCATCGTACATGAAGGTTTAGTATGCAATCAAGTTCAATGAAGAGTCACGAAGTGCGACTCCCCAGGGTTCATGTGTGAGGCGTATATGGAAACATTATCAATGTTTCAGAAGTAATAAGAACAGGATTGCAAAATGGAGTTGAAAACAATTTCAAAAAGTTCTAGTTCACTCCCAGTATTATATGATAAGTATAACTGTTCTCATGGAATTAATTCTTATTTTCATTTTGAAAATGTTGAAGAAAATAAATAAATATTATCTGTTGAAACATTGGATTATTCATTCTTGGCCAAGAGACTGTCCCTAATTTTGTCTAGGAATAAATATAGTTTCATAGTATGAAGTGGGTCGATCTCATTATGAAGCTTGAAGACATTTCATGTTAAAATATTAGACAATAATTGAATTGAAGGGGTTATGTTTTTAGGAGTGATTATTTTTGGAAAATAAAGTTTTTGGCTTTCTACTACTCCATCTTGATGTTCATATAAACATTGAATAACACGAAAGAAAAAAATTCTTTTGGAACAAATACTTCTATATGAACACTGAATTATACAGAAGACACTTTTCTCACTGTCACCCCCACTGTTCCATGTAAGTGCAATTTATTACAATTCATTCAAAGTAGAACTCATGTGAATGATATTTGATTATTATTCCACAACGAATGTTTGAAATACAAACTGAGTAGAGAAAAGTGTCTTATGTATAATT